TAAGACAAACCCGAAATAATAAAATAAATAAATAAAAAAAATCTTAAACTTTATTACGTCTTACTTTAACCCTTTATATAAAACTTTTTTCTTTATTTGTAATAGTTAGATACATACATAGATATTTAAATTTTTATGGTCCAGTTTGTTGTTTCCGTTTTAGCAATAAAAAATACGTTTTTAGGTGGAAAGTTATTTAATCAACAAAATGCCTATTAATAAATAAATTATTTGAAACAATTTATTTCACACACCCTGTCAGAAATATTTATTACGTATTTAAATAGTAATTGTTATTTGCGCATCAATTAGTCACTAATTAGTGTGTTGTGGTGTAGTGGTACGTTTAGTGAAAATATAGGTTTAGTTAAGTTAGATTTTAGAGCAGGTCGCAAATCATAAAAAAAATACCTAATAGTACATAAATCGATTATTATAAACATCTTAAACATTTAAATAAATTAATTTCTTTTTTTGTATATAATTATAATACGTATTAAAAATTTGAATAAGAAATTAGTAACAGCCAAAAATATTACTATTATTAGGGAAGAATGGGGTAATTCTAATTACGTGCTTCCAATTAGCCCCTTCTCCTCATTATTCATATATATTCTACAGTAAGGTATTAACAATTAATTAACATAATACAATGTAAACAGATTCTTTGTTGAATCTATTGTTTTTTAATCTAAAGAACCATATATTTAATCCCGTAATTGTATATTTTGATTACATCAGTAAGTAACTGTTCTTTGGAAGAGTTGCTAGGCAAGACCGTTTTCTAATCAATACTAGTCAATATCTAACTTCCTAAAACTTCCTTGCATCTTAGTAATTTCTGAATCGTCCTGTTTATTTCTGCTCCTTATAATGTCTTCGTCGCTCAACAGGTTCATCGAGTCCAGAGATAACAGTCGGTCCCTTTTCTGGGCTAATTCTTTCTTCCAAAGGTCTATCATATCCGCCATTGGCATCACACCCCCGTACTCTTTTGGTAGTACGCGTCTGTCGATGCTTTTGTGTAATTCTTCCAATTTACTGTGAATCTTAAAGAGAAATGGATTTCGTATTGCTCTTAAGTATTTTCTATTTTGGTATTAGTGTGTTTAGATTTGCAGATGATATAGCAGTATTAGCATCTAGCAAGGAGGACCTAGAGATAGCTTTAAATAAAATGGAAGCGGTACTGACAGATTAGTACTGTATGAAAATAAATAAAAGTAAAACTAAAATACTG